CCCTAACAGAGGGTGGTAAGTACTGAAGCTGCTTCAGTACCCTGGGGAGATCAGGGAAGGCTGCCAGGAGGAGATGTCCAACCAGGAACCCTCTTGGTGAGGAATGAGAATGAGTTTGATGAAAAAAAGGACTCAGAGGCCAGAGCCTGTCAGGGAAGGAGCTCTTTTCAGAAGAACAGGGCTCAGAAGCCAGAAGTCAAAGGTTATGGGTCAGAGGTCACTGTACTTTTGGAGCAAAGGACCAATCCCAAGGGTGCTGGCTTTGCTGGAGGATTAGTGGGCCTCCTCCATCGGCCTTTGTCCCAGGTTAGGGGGGTCTGATCCAGGACTCTCAGCTCACGCATGGAGCGGCGGGCATGTGCCCACCTATCTTTGCGTGGCGCCTAGGCCCAGAGCGGGAGCCCAGGGCACAGGCAAAGGAAGTCGAAGAGAATCCTGGTAGTGAGCTCTGGAGGTCAGGCCAGGAGGTCAGCACAGAGGAGGCGGGCTACACCTCACTGGTCCTCCCCCCTCCCCCTCCCCGGTGGCACCACAAGGCACGCAGCCGCATATCACCCGTGCCAGCCCTCACCTCCCGGCAACGTCGCCGCATTCTCAGCCACGCCATCTGGCGTGCCCGCCGCTCCCCAGAACACTGCAGCGGGTGGGGGGAGGGGGCAGCGGGGCAGGTGCCCACCCCAGAGCCAGGAAGAAGCGGCAGGTCCCCTCCCCCAACGTCCTTTTGGACTTGAGGTGGGCAGGGGGCTGGGGAAGAGGGCGGCAGGTGCTCTGACACTTCAGGAGGAAGCTTCCAGCATCCGAATTGATGGAAGAGTCGCCGTCTGGGCAGCGCCAGCCGGCCCCCTCCCCTCCCTCCTTCCCCACAGCACAGCCGATGCCCGGAGCACCGGCCCTCAGAGGATCCCCACATTCCTGCCCTTCCCCTCAAATCAGAGGTGGGGGCGAGCGGAGCAGACCGCCCCCTCCCCGCCCTGCTCCTGTCCTCGTACTCCACCCGCCTGCCCACCTCAGCTGGGGAGGCCCCGGGAGACGGAGTCAGAGGGCGGCGGCCGGGGAATGGACGCCTGGGTTCTGATCCACCTGCCCCTCGTGGTCTGGCACTTTGGTGGGAAATGAAATCTCCTTCTCCGGCACAATTGCCCCCAGCAGTCTTATTTGGAGCATGGTGCTGGTGGTGGTGGTGGCGTCTGGCTAGGTGTCCTTTCTGGGTGTCAGAATGGAACGCGGGTTTACAGATTTGTGTGTGTGTGGTGTGTTTTTTTTTTGTTTTTTTTGTTTTTGGTTTTTGGTTCTGTTTTGGGTTTTTTCTGGTGAGAGCAGTTTTATAGAACATTCTCCTGTCCTCTGAGCAAGATTACCTAGACTGCTCAGGAATGC